GCTGGCTAAGTAGTTTTTCATCAACAGGCGGGACAAGTTTAATCTAAGTTCGTAACTTTTTTCTCTCCAAATTACATCGTCGCAAAACTGGATAATTAATGTTTCACTGATGCGTCGATAAGGACAGTTTCTTTCGGTCAGTCTACATTGCAAGGGCATCGTTAAAGAAAAAACTGGCCAAACAGACATAGTTTACACTGGAGGAAAAGCTGTTCCTTCTGTGTATGCGATTTAACCCTCATTAAGCATCGAAGTTACCGCAGTTTTCCGTAGTTCAACAGCCGCTATTTTATTTTACTACAACAACAGCATTCCTACAGTTGATCTGACCGAAAAATTGTATAGGCGGATTTCTGTGATAACGAATATTCCATTCGGCAAACATGGTAACCAAGCTAACGAAAACACCCGAAAAAGTTATTTCTCTAATTAGTTTTAAGTCACTGGTACGGTGCCTAGAGATGATGAAATGAAGGACCTGTATGGATATGGAAAGAGGTAACTGCCCTTTGGTGACATGTACAAAAACGATGGCAAGCACATCAACAAAAAACATCAGGATCATATCTCGTCCAATTATCAGAGAATTACATTACGGATCCTCCCGGGTAAAACTTAAGCAGAACTGTTGAAAATGTGACGCAAAATTGCTTACTGCCATATCCAAAAAAGGGAGAGTAGCCTTCGCCAGATTGTTGAGAAATCGTAGGAGCACGATCATCTTACTTACACACGTTTTGTAGACCTGGAGAGAGCCTATGACCGGATTCAACGCCGGGAAATTATGGATGCACTCACAAAAGCATAGGACAGATGGCCAGTTATTAACAGGCATCCAGTCACGATGTACGGATAACATGTGCTGCGTCAGAATAAACAGCATTAAGCCGAGACCTTCCGTTCTTGGCACTAGTATCACCATAGGGGCGTTCTGTCCTTTCTCTCATTTGTATTGCACATGGACAGAACAGCCAGGCGCAGCGAATGTTACGAGTGTATCAGAGCAGTATGTCGAGACGACGATTTGGTTGTTTGCAGAGGACTCTGTTTTGTTGGCATGCTCTGAAACAAGTTTCCAGCGCGCTGTGGAAAACTTCAGCCGAGTGTTCAGCATGCGTGTGAACATGTCTATACCCAGAAGCCCAGTGTTTACTCGTTGCGGATAAGCAGCGTAACACACAGAGAAGTTCAAGTACTTTGGGTCATGTTTACTGGTGACGGAAACTGGAAGAGATCGACTGGTGAATCTGACTGGCCAGCAGCGTTCTGACCGAACTTGTCGGAACCTTTGTGACTAAACAGTCAGTATTCAACCCGATTTTCATCCCTATTCTCCTCTGTTGTTATGATTAGTGGACCATGACTGAAAAACTGCGATTCCGGGTACAAGCGGCTAAAATGAATTTTCTGTCAGAAATCGTTTGGCATGTCGTCTCGATAGTCTAGAGGTCAAATATCCGCGAAATCTTGGTGTACAGCCTCTTATTCCACAGAAGAGGTCATAACTGCTAGTTAGCTACGCCAGAACCGGATAAGAAACGTTGAAAATAGTCTGATGCTACTGCCCTCCCCCCATACACACACAATATTAAAGGATTAGCACAATTCGACATCGAGTGGGTTTTCTTGTTTTCAAAGCTTATAACATGGAATCAAAAGATGCACCCGCCGCTTCTGATTTTAAATGTCAGTATTCGATTCAATTTATGCTTAACACTAGAATAACAATATACACGCATGCAAACAGTATCGATAATAAAAAACCCACCCACTGACCGTTGATTGGGATCTGCATATTCTTTCGCAAGGTCTTGAGCCGCCTGCACAGCCACGGCGTCTCTATCCAGACAGACCAATTTCACATCGCTGGCCTTGCCCAAGATCTCCCGGCTGTGACCCCCGTAGCCAAACGTCATATCCACTATAACCTATAACTGAAATGTCGTGGCCATCGTTTCACTACTGGTAACTACCTGCCCGGAGTGAGGCTGCAGAAAACACAGGACCTCCTGAGCCATGACCGGGATGTGGTGCTTACCGTGGCCAGAACAGAGACTGCAGCGGAAAATTTTATTAAGCCCTCGCAAAACACGGAAGACGTCGGCATATGACATGCGGCTATGGAAATAGTGGTTCATCTGCTAAGCAGAATAAGCATTATCAAACCGTTCTCAGCTAAAAACAGGATCACAATGAAGTCTGACAAATCAACATTTATGCACATGTATTTCGGTAAATCAAAAGTTTATTCCAAACAAAATAACACGTCATTCAAATGAACAGTTTGCTTTCAGTTCAACGTTTTCGCACAAATCGTTTCAAGTAACAACCGCCTGTTCACTTCAGACTGGATGAATGTGATGAAATCCTCAATAACGGTACTTCCGACCAGCTGTTGAATCTTATGCTGCATCTGAAGTTTTTCTTCCGGTGTAATGTTCTGAATACTTGTAATAAATGCGTCATAGCCATTAGAATATCTGTAACCAAGCATAGCACCTATAAAGGAAAAACGTTAACAAGCACGTACAAAAAGTAAATAACACTAAATAGTAAACGCGGAACAAAACAACAGCGAATGAAATAAAATGAATACGAAGTTATGAACTGCCAAGGCCACAACTTCAGTGAACTGAGTCGTCCAATTACTTCCA